GGCTCGCGGAGAACGACGTCGCCATCGGCGCCAAGGACCGATGCCAGGCCGCCCCGCTGCGCAAGCTGGGGCTGGAGACCGCAGGCGCTGCTGCCCGCCCCCGCCGGCGTGCTGGGCCGCCGTGAGTGGCCGGCCCGCCCCGCCGCGCTGCGGGGGCTGCGCGCGGCCGAGCGGCGGGAATCGAAAACGCGCCCGCGCGAACAGGTTAAGTCGCAGTCCAAGTAGAGGACCCCCCCCCCTTAAGCCTGAAGGAGGGCCGGCGCAGAGCCGCTCCCGCAGAAGCGCCGCCTCAGCTCGGTCCTCCCCAGTTTTTCCAGGGTTGGGTCCGGGGCCCTCCAGGTCCGGCCGGTGTGCGGAACCCTCTGCGTGACGGTGGACTGGGGCGCGCCTGCTACGATGGGGAAACCCTAGACCCAGGGACGCAGCCTCGCGGTCGAAAGGTAATGGTAACGCAACGAGCGTTGGAGGGCACTTGCGCCCCGCGGCCCCCCCTGGCGCCGGACCCGTCTCCCGGCGCCGCCCCCCCCCCCCCCCCCGCACTGCGCGCCCTTGGGACCGCGGCCCGCGCGCCCAACAGGTTGACGGCGGGTCGGGAAGGCGGGGGGGGGAGGCCCAGGGACGCAGCCCCTCGATCGAAAGGCCATAGTAATGCGCTCGACCACGGACTCCCGGCACCCCCTCTGCCCCCTGACCGCGGACGGAGACGCGCCAGCCCAGACCAGCCACAGGTGCCGAGGTGCAGGCAAGGTCTGGGTTAGCGCTGCTTGGCGGCGGCGGGCGTGCTCGTTCCCTCCCGGACTTCGGGCAACGCGGGCCCTCGCAGAGGATCCGGCGAGAGCCCCCGCGCGGGCAGTGACCTTCCGAAATAGGGAGGGGGCCGCGGCGGGTACTTGGGTAAAACGCCCCGACGTCGAGGCCAGTGCGCCCGCGGCTTCCTCCAGCCCCTTTTGGGGGGGCTCGAACCGGTAGTGACCCCCCCCCGGTTTTTCGGAGGGGGGGGGGTCGGTTAGGGGAGGGGGGAGGGGGGGGTGCCGCGGGGAAAGCGGGGGGGTCCAGCAAGGGGGGGGATTTTCGGAGGGGTGGGGGGGGGGGGGCCCGGGCTCCGGAGGAAGAGGGGGGGAATTTTCCACAGTAAAGCGGCGGTGGATCACGCTCTCTCGTATATTATCATTATTACATATCATTATTATAATTAGTATTATTAGGAGTGTTCTTACTATGATTAGTAATTCTAGTAATTTTGGTGATGTTACTATTGGTGTTCGTTTTTTTGTGTTATTATTATTATTCTTCTTCTCCTTCTTCTTCTTCTTCTTCTAGAAAAGCCGGTCCAGGGGAGTGGGTCGAGACTTCCGGAGACCCCGTCGCACGGCATCGGATGGCTGGGGGGTCGCTGCAGACGTGCTCGGGAGGTCGCCGCGGGTGCTCGGGGGTCGCTGGAGGTGCGTCGGAGGTTTGCGGAGGTCGTCGGAAAGTCGTCGGGCGTGTTCGGCGGTTCTTGGCGGATTTCGGAAGGTCGTCGTCGGCGGGGTTTTCGGGGGGAGGCCGCGAGAGGTCGTCGGAGGTTCTCGGAATCCGTCTGAGGCGATCGAAAGTAGTCTGACATGTTCGGAAGTCGTCCGAAGGTTTCGGAGGTGGCTGGCGGCCTTCGGCCTCGTCTGCCTGTGTCCGCCTGTATGTCTGTCTGTCTGTCTGTCAGGCAATCAGAAAGAGAGACAGAAGGGGGAAATAGGGAGAGGCAGACAGACAGACGGACAGACAGAAAGACAGACAGACAGACAGTTAGACAGGCAGGCAGGCAGGCAGGCAGGCAGACAGGCAGGCAGAAAGACAAACAGACAGAAAGACAGACAGAGAAACAGACAGACGGACGGACAGGCAGACACAGACACAGAAACAGAGCAGAAACAGAGGCGCCGAGGCAGTCAGACCCTGTCCGCCTGTCTCGTCTGAACTTGCTCCTTCCCAGTCATGGGAGGGAGGAGGAGGGGGGAGGCTCAGCACCACTCCAGTGGCACTGGGGCCCTGCAGAGCAGCCGGCCACAGCCGAAACGGGCGGAGCCACGAGGACGCTGAGGCCGTTGAGAGGTTCGGGCGCCTGCTGGACGCTCCTGAGGCTCTCCGGGGGACATCTGGAGATCTCCCGCAACCTTCGGAGACATCCAGGGAGATAGAGGGAGGAGAAGGAGGAGGAGGAGGAGGAGCAGGAGGAGGAGCGGGAGCAGGAGCAGGAGCAGGAGCAGGAGCAGGAGGAGGCGGAGCAGGAGCAGGAGCAGGAGGAGGAGCAGGAGCAGGAGCAGGAGCAGGAGGAGGAGCAGGAGCAGGAGCAGGAGCAGGAGGAGGAGGAGGAGGAGGAGGAGGAGGAGGAGGAGGAGGAGCAGGAGGAGGACTCGAGGTGACGCCGCACGTCTCCAAGGGCGCGGGGGCGCCCGCGGCACGCCGCCGCGCGCGCCGCGCGAGGCCGCCAGAAGGGGACGACGAGGAAGCCGCCCTGCGCCAAGGACGCGGTGGGGCGGCCGTAAGGGGTGGCGCACGAGCCCGCCAAGGCCCCGACAGCCGCCAGCCTCGGGCCCGCGCCGCCGCCACCGCCTCCGGCGCGGCGTCGCGCGCCTCCTCGGCGGGGGCGACGACGCGCGGCCGAGCGGCACGGCGGCCATGCTCGAGCCACAGCCTGCGGGCGGTACGCCTGTGCGGCGTCGCCTCTGGCGGGCATGCTGCTGCCAGCCCCGGGGCAAAGAACCCGCAGGCGGCGCACTGCCACACGCTGCTGTCGTCGAGCAGCACCATGCTGTGGCTGACGTCCGCCGCCTGGCCGCCGACCTGGACGAGAGGTCCGCCACCAGGAGCCACCGTCATGCCATCCTCCTTCGGGACGAGCGGCCAGGAAGGGGCGGCGAGCAAGGCCGTCCGCGCAGCTGCCGAGGCGGAACGTCGACAGGCGCGGCAGGTGCGGCCGTCGTCGTCCAGCACGTGGGTTGGAGTTCGCAGCGATGAGGACGAGGAGGAGGAGGAAGAGGAGGAGGAGGAGGAAGAGGAGGAGGAGGAGGAGGAGGAGGCGGAGGAGGAGGAGGAGGAATAGCAAGGAGGAGCAGGAGAAGGAGGGAGGAAGAAAAGGAGGAAGAGGAGGAGAAGGAGGACGAGGAGGAGGAAGAGGAGGAGAGAAGTAGAGAGGAGGGAGCCGGGAGGAGGGAGGAGGGAGGGGAAGGAAGAGGAGGAGGAGGAGGAGGAGGAGGAGGAGGAGGAGGAGGAGGAGGAGGAGGAGGAGGATCATATTCTGCCCGCGACGGGACGAAAGACAAAGAAGACGAGAACGGTCTCACTGGGGGGCGGCCGATGCCGCGGCCGGGCGCAACTCAGAAAACCAACGTCGGCGGGATGGTGTCGCGGACAGATCCAGGGACTGAGCTTGAGCGAGAGGAGGGAGGAGGGAGGAGGGAGGCGGGAGGAGGAGGGAGGGAGGAGGAGGAGGGGAGGAGGGAGCTGGGAGGGAGGCAGGAGGAGGGAGAGGGAGGAGGAGGGAGGAGGATAGGAGGAGGAGGATGGGGAGGAGGAGGAGGAGGAGGGAGGAGGAGAGGAGGAGAGGAGAGGAAGGGGAAGAGGAGGAGGAGGAGGAGGAGGAGGAGGAGGTGGAGGAGGAGAGAGGAGGAGGAGGAGGGAGGAGGGAGAGGAGGGAGGAGGAAGGAGGGGAGGAGGAGGAGGAGGAGAGGGAGGGGAGGAGGAGAGGAGGAGGGGAGGAGGAGGAGGAGGAGGAGGAGGAGGATGCTCTGGGGGCTCAAAAACATTGGGGAGCGAGAGCATGTCCAACTCTCGCTTGGCAATCGACTGTTTCGGACTGCCCTTGAGGTGGCGGCCCTCTGCTGGCGTTTGGGGGTTTCCTTCATCATGGAGCATCCCGCGGAACCCTGAGGTCCCCCTTAGGCTCCCAGCTCCGGGTTTCTGGACCAAGTGAAGCGGCTGTGCAACTTGGAGGCCGCCCACCGGGTCACCATCCATCAGTGTGCCTTCGGAGCCCCCACGAGGAAGCCCACCAACCTCCTTATCAGCCACACGCCCTCTCTCGTGGATGCCCTGGCTACCAGGCGGGGGGGAGTCACGTGTACCCACAACTTCAGCACGATCTGCACTTGATGCACGAAGAGGACGGCTGGATTCCACTATCGCTGAGAAAATATCACACACCACTGGATCCATATCAGGACGACCAAAAGATAGGCATGGACTGTATGCTCCACCCACGGATACGAGACCGAAGGAGATAGAGGGACAGAATTGGCGGGGGGCCTACGGTCTGCTGCTTGCTGCTCTCACTCCCTTGGATCAGTGTCGCCCCCCTTCTCAGGTTCGCGCACCACTCGTGGTAGTAACTTCACGTGAAGGGCCTTCTAGGATTCTCACCCCTGGAAGGATAGCCTGAGGTAGGACCCTCCCCGACAGTGACGTCAGACTTTTTGACAGTACCGGACTTGGTCTGGGAAGGGCCTGATGAGGCAACGCTCAATTCACGTCTACGCTGGACGTTAAATAGCAGGGGGTTGAGTTTACCCCAGATTTCGTAATAGAGGGAGGGGGGTCTCATTTCGGGGGGGGGGTCTCTTCCAGGCTATCTTGGAGGGCCTGGGGGGGTCTGGGGACGATGTTTTGGAGGGTTCTCCCACGGGGGGGGGGTCTAAAACTTCTCGTCTGGGAGGGTTGAGACCCCCTCCCTTTTATTACGAAATCTGGAGTAGCCAGGGGGAGGCATGCGTTGCGCTGACATGTTGCTGCCGCTGCTCTGCCGCCGCCGCACCGCCGTCACTCCGTCCCTGTTCCACCTGGCTCTCATCCTGTCCCGCGGGCGTCGGCTCTCCGCCCCAAGCCCGAGGAAGAAAGAAGGAGGAGGAGGAGGAGGAGGAGGAGGAAGCGGAGGAGGAGGAGGAGGAGGAGGAAGCGGAGGAGGAGGAGGAGGAGGAGGAGGAGGAGGAGGAGGAGGAGGAGGAGGAGGAGCCGCCGCCGCCGCGAAGGCCGGGCGCCGGGGGGGGGCCCGCGGCCCTCGTGGCGGCGGACGCGCTGCTGCCGGCGGAGCTGAAGGACGGCCGGCGGCGGCGGCGGCCGTCGGCGTCGTGCAGCGGCGCGGGCAGCGGCGGCGGCCTGCGGCGAGCGGCGGCGGCCTGCGGCGGCCGTGGGCAGCCATCGACAGCATCGGCAGCTTTGGGCGGCCGTCGGCGGCCCGGGGCAGCGGCGGCGGCGGCGGCCGGGGTGGCCGAGCACGAAGGGGCAGGAAGGGCAGAAGGGCCGGGCACATGGGGGGCGAGAGGGGCAGGAAGAGCAGAAGGCAGGTGGAGGACGGTGAGGAAATATTGCTTTATTCTTTTACCCAATATTCTTACTTATTATCTCATTCATCATCATAATCATAAATCATCATCATCATCATTCATCATCATCATCATATCATCATCATAATCATAATAATAATAATCATAATAATCATAATCATCATAATACCCTTCCTAATACTCATATTAATAATCTTAAGTCTTCAGTATATGATGATTTTGATTATTAAGATGTGATGCATTATGGTTGTCGTTGGTGGTGGATGGAGGTGGTGATGATGATGATGATGATGATGATGCTGATGATGCTGATGATGATGATGCATGAGGTGGTGGTGGTGGTGGTGGCTGGTGGGTGGTGGTGGGGGTGGTTCTGGTGGTGGTTGTGGTGGTGGTGGTGGTGATGGTGATGGACTGCAGAGGAGGGAGGAGGAGGAGGAGGAGGAGGAGGAGGAGGAGGAGGAGGAGGTAGGAGGAGGAAGAGGAGGAGGACGATGAGGATGAGGAGGGGAGTTGGATGAGAAGGGTAGGAGGAGGACGGGAAGAGGAGGTGGTGGAGGGGAGGAGGGAGTTGGAAGAGGTGAGTGAGGGAGGAGGAGTGGAGAGAAGGAGGAAGGAGGAGGAGGAGAGGGGAGGGGAGGAGGGAGGAGGAGGAGGAGGGGGAGGGGGTAGGAGAAGGGGAGGGGGAGGAGAAGGAGGAGGGAGAAGAAGGAGGTTGGAAGAGGAGGAGGAGAAGGAGGTATGAGAAGGAGGGAGGTAGAGGAGGAAAGGGGCGTGGGATTGAAGGGACAGGGAGGGAAGCGCGATGATGGTGATGATCATGATGCTGATGCTGATGCTGATGATGCTGATGATGCTGATGATGCCGATGATGATGATGATGATGATGATGATGATGATGATGATTATGATGATGATGCTGATGATGACGATGATGAGGATGAAGATGATGATGATGATGAGGATGAGGATGAGAATGAGGATGAGGATGAGGATGATAATGATGATGATGATGATTATGATGATGATGATGATGATGATGATGATGATGGTGCTGGTGATGATGATGATGCTGTTGCTGCTCATGATGATGATGGTCATGATGCTGATGACAGTGGAGATGATGATGCTGATGATAATGATGTTGATGATCGTGATGATGGCGATGATGTCGATGATGCTGCTAAGGTTGACGAATATTATCAGTATAATGGGTCTGACGATGATGGTGGTTATTAGGATGAAGGTGGTGATCGTGATGCTAGTGATGTTGCTGATGGTGGTGATGGTGATGATGATCGTGATGGTGGTGGTGATGATGGTGATGATGCTGGTGATGATGGCGACGACGATGCTGATGCTGATGATAATGATGATGATGATGACGGTGGTGATGATGATGGTGATGATGGTGATGATGATGATGGTGATGGTGTTGGTGGTGATTGTACTGGTGATGATGATGACGACGATGATGATGATGGTGGTGATGATGATGATGAAGACGATCATGATGACGATGAAGACGACGATGCTGGTGGTGATGCGAATGATGATGATGACGATGATGATGATGATGATGATGATGAAGATGATAATGATGAGATGATGGATGATGATGATGATGATATGATGGATGCATGATGATGACGATGATGTACCGATGATGATTATGATCGATGTGATGATGATGACGTGACGATGTTGATGATGATGATGATGATGATGACGATGATAATGATGAGGATGATGATGATGATGATGTATGATGATGAAGATGATGATGATGATGATGATGATGATGATGATGATGATGATGATGATGATGATGATGATGATGATGGTGGTGGTGGTGGTGGTGGCGATGCTGCTTATGATGATGATGATGATGGTGGTGGTGATGATGATGATGCTGCTGATGATGATGATGATAATGATGATGCTGATGCTGATGGCGATGAGGAGGAGAAGAGAGAATAACAGTATTAGTGAGAAGACCCAGAGGTCGGAGCAGTGGTACTGTTAGCATTACGGGGCTACACGTCGTTGCACAGAGTGTCTGCACAAGACGGGACAGCAATCATCTCAGATGAGGCAGTGGGCTGAAAGCACGCTGCGGTGGAGGAGGGGCGACAGCTGGGAGCTGTGCTGCGGCCCCTCTGGACCAGAGCGGCAATGCCGGAACAGCAGGACGTCGTAAGGCAGAACGCTTGGGGGTGCCAAGGAGCACCCAAGGCACGGGGGCGCGGGGGAGGCAGGAGAAGCGGTGGCCAGAAAAGAAAAAAAAAAAAATCCAGACGCCCGCAGGTGGCAGCCTTCCACCAGCGCCAGACCTCCCCCCCGCACCCCCCTTGGTCGGCTGCGCGTCAGACGGGCCCTCCACTGGAGCGACCTTTGGTGTGGGCCCGCAGGAGCCCCCCTCCAGCACCAGCCAGTGACACTGGCTGGCGCGCTTCGATCCCCTCCTCCTCCTCCTCCTCCTCCTCCTCCTCCTCCTCCTCCTCCTCCTCCTCCTCCTCCTCCTCCTCCCCCTCCTCCTCCTCCTCAATCAAGGGAAGAAGAACCACCCGGACCCGACAATCAGCGTTCTCTTCACGGCCCTGGGCGTCAAATAGACGGCCCGGCCCGGTTCGCTGCCTCCCCGGGCTGCGTCTACGAGACGGCTTCGCTTGTCGGGGTGACTCTTCTGGGTGTGGACTTTCTGCCCTGCCCTGGACGAAATCCGCGCACCGGGGGCGCCCCAGACCCCCGACGTCATGATTTTTTTTCACGACGTCGACCCCAAGCGGTCTGGACCCATTCCCCAGGACCGGTGTTTCATCCTGAGTCGTTTTGTTGACGGTCCCGAGGGCCGGTAAGGGCCCCCAGAGTGCAAAAATAATGAAAACTTCCCGTCGCGATTTTTTCACACCGCGAGGAGGTCTGAGTGCCCTGCCCTGGACTAAATCCGCGCACCAGGGGCGCTCTTGCCCAGGGCCACTCCTGCGCGTGTGGACGGGCTGGCGCCCGTGGGAGGAGGAGGAGGAGGAGGAGGAGGAGGAGGAGGAGGAGGAGGAGGAGGAGGAGGAGGAGGAGGAGGGGGGGGGACTCGCAATGGGGGGAAAGGCTTCTCAGAAGCACCCCTGCCTCTTAGAAGGCGCGGGCCTTGCCTGTGGATGTGAGACCGGTGCCTTCCAAGAAGCAGCCTGCTTCTAAGAGGCCTTCCCCCTTCCCTTTTACCCTTTTTTTCAGAGCCCCGAATCATCAGGGGTAACTCGGGTCCGGGGTAACTCGGGCTTGGATCCCCGAGAAAGGACCCCGAGTTAGCCCTGACCCGAGTTACCCCTGATTGTTCGCTCGGGCTCTGAGCTATCGGCGGTCCCCGGGGCCGGGGTAACTCGGGTCAGGGATACCTGGGGTCCTTTTTCGGGGATCCAAGCCCGAGTTACCCCGGACCCGGGTTACCCCGGATAACTCGGGCGCCCAGAGCCCCGAATCATCAGGGGTAACTCGGGTCAGGGCTAACTGGGGTTCCTTTTTCGGGGATCCAAGCCCGAGTTACCCCGGACCCGGGTTACCCCGGATAACTCGGGCGCCCAGAGCCCCACATCATCAGGGGTAACTCGGGTCAGGGCTACCTCGGGTTCCTTTTTCGGGGATCCAAGCCCGAGTTACCCCGGACCCGGGTTACCCCGGATAACTCGGGCGCCCAGAGCCCCGAATCATCAGGGGTAACTCGGGTCAGGGCTAACTGGGGTTCCTTTTTCGGGGATCCAAGCCCGAGTTACCCCGGACCCGGGTTACCCCGGATAACTCGGGCGCCCAGAGCCCCACATCATCAGGGGTAACTCGGGTCAGGGCTACCTCGGGTTCCTTTTTCGGGGATCCAAGCCCGAGTTACCCCGGACCCGGGTTACCCCGGATAACTCGGGCGCCCAGAGCCCCGAATCATCAGGGGTAACTCGGGTCAGGGCTAACTGGGGTTCCTTTTTCGGGGATCCAAGCCCGAGTTACCCCGGACCCGGGTTACCCCGGATAACTCGGGCGCCCAGAGCCCCACATCATCAGGGGTAACTCGGGTCAGGGCTAACTCGGGTTCCTTTTTCGGGGATCCAAGCCCGAGTTACCCCGGACCCGAGTTACCCCGGATAACTCGGGCGCCCAGAGCCCCGAATCATCAGGGGTAACTCGGGTCAGGGCTAACTGGGGTTCCTTTTTCGGGGATCCAAGCCCGAGTTACCCCGGACCCGAGTTACCCCGGATAACTCGGGCGCCCAGAGCCCCACATCATCAGGGGTAACTCGGGTCAGGGCTAACTGGGGGTTCCTTTTTCGGGGATCCAAGCCCGAGTTACCCCAGACCCGAGTTACCCCGGATAACTCGGGCGCCCAGAGCCCCACATCATCAGGGGTAACTCGGGTCAGGGCTAACTGGGGGTTCCTTTTTCGGGAATCCAAGCCCGAGTTACCCCGGATAACTCGGGCGCCCAAAATGCGGGATGACGATTAATTAAAAAAGGGAGGGAACGATTAGACAAAACACTTTTCTGCTATTTCTGCACGATTTTCTGACTGGAGGAGAACGATTAAAACATAGTTTTCCAGCCCGCGGCCGGTTTTTTCGAATCGTCACCCCGGGCGCCGCCGCGTGAACACGGCCTCCGGTCATTTATTTATCGTCATCCTCCATTAAGGGGACCCGGTGAGTAGTAGGGCCACGGGGCCCCTAAATTGGCCAGGGTAACCAAACCAGGTCTGCCGCAGCTGGTGTT